TGATCCTTGAGCCTGCTCTGCCCTCCAGGCCTGGTGAGTCACCCAGGCTCAGGGTTTGGCTCAGGGCTTAGTGCCAGGGTGCTGGGAGCCTGGCTGCACACCCGGCCCCACCAAGGCGGAGGAAACTGGTACACAGTTCTTCCAAACACCCTCTCCGACACCTCTTTCTTTCCTCCCTTCTCATCCTAAGTAATTTAGCTTCAGGGCCTCAGGCCTCATAGGAGCCGGGAACCCAGAAAAGGCACCACCTGGCTTAGTGATGCCTGCTCTGAGGGAGCGAAGGGTGGGGACAGCACGACCCAGCTTCCAGAGGCCACCCAGAAATCCTCCTCTAGGAAGAGGATGCTCTGCAGCCATTGCTGCCATGCTGGACACCTTGTTAATGCGTAAAATAGTCGAATAGTAGATTTTTTACTATTGTTGTAAATGCAAAATGTTGGATAATGAGATAGATAAGTGAGGAGTAGGTGTACAGCTAAGTGATCATACCTGCTTTATTTCTATCACTCTGAATAGCATTTTTCATTACCAAAGAGAATGTTCAAGATTGAGTTGAATGTGGGTTGAGAACAAGATCTGTGTTTTGGATATATTTTCTTACCAATATTTTCTTTCTCCTACCTGTGGGATGCAGTTGGAATAAGCATGTCAAAGACAAAAAGCTAAATATTCAAGAGTGAATACTGGTGGGTGAGGCTTTGAATATGCACCAACACAGCTCCAGAAGCCACACCTAAGCATCCACATCACAGAAGAACAGGTTCCTTCTCTTTTCCCCCTATCCCCCCAACCTCTCAGAGCCTGACTTGGGTGCAAGAAAAGGCCTGTTCTCATCTTCCTGCCTGCTAGTCTTCCAGATCAATCCATCCTCCAGACATTCACCAGACTAAACCGCAAATCCAGTCCTGTCAATCCTCTAGTTAACTCCCCTTCCGCAGGGGACCCAGTGCCTGTAGGTCAAGTCCAAGCCTCCGAACTCTGCATTCAAGGCCCTCTCTCCAGGTTAATCTCCTACCATGCCCCTAGAGGCAATCTCCTTCACTACACCCCAAACTCTTCTTCCCCCAAACACATCATGCTCTCTCTCACTTCTGTACCTTCATCTTCTGTCCAAAACCAGTCCCTCAAACCAGTTTGTTATGGTTCAAACCCCTGCTGAGAATTCGCATTTCTAACAAGTTCCCAAGCAATATTAATGATGCTGGTTAGGGACCAATTCTAAGAACAACTAGCAGAAGAGTGGTTCTCAAAATTTATTATACATAAGAATCACTTGTTTTAATGCAGATTCTGATTCAGTACATCTGGGGTGGAAATGCAAATTCTCAGCAGGGGTTTAAACTGGAACTGGTTCAAAGCCCTGTCAAAAACCCTCCTCTCTCGCTTGCCTAACCTAACCTTTAACTCAGACTTCAGAACCAATTCAAAAGTTACTTTCCCCAGGAGCCTTCTCTGACTGTGCAATTCACTCCCTTCCTCAGTGCTCCGTGGTACTTTGTTCATATCTCTGTTGTGGAATTGTCCTCAAGCCTAGCGTAGGACTTGCAGAGTAAATGTTCAGTGTTGCCGAATGTGTGAATCAACTCTCCTTTGCCAAGGCCGAAACACAGACCACTAAAAGATCTAGTTTTTTTGTTTGTTTGTTTCAATCCAAAAGCACGAGCAGTACCAGCTGGTGAGTGGGAGGCATTCTAGCTAATTAAAGAGCCTAGTTAACAGAATCCAACTGATAAGATATGCAAGGCTAGTGGGCTATGCTCTACCTCTGCATTCATCCTCGCACTATAAAGTAAAAATGCCACCTTACTGTGTTTCCCCAGGGGATACTGGGCCCCATTTGATCATATACACATACATACCATTTGATCATATACAGCCCCTGAACAAGTCACTGTCCTAAGAACTGGTGTAAAATAGTCATGTAAGATGGACACAGGCAAATTCTTAGAATATAACTAGAGGTTAGGTAAATATACCATTGTAATGCAATACCTATGCAGAAAGAAGGAAACCATGGCCAAATCCTCTTGTCAGAAACACATATATGGCCTAATGTTAACATTAAAGTAGTCATGATAAGATGTTAGGAAGCTCTGAATCACAGGTATGCTCACCTGAGGCAAGTATTTAGAGTGCACAGCTTTTGTTTTGGTCTGCCCAGTTCCCAGTAACAAAACAGCCCTTTTTCTGGGTAACATCTCATCTGCCTTCCAAGCATGTGGTTCTAGAAGAGGGTGCCAATGATGGTACACCCCCCTACCCCCCCAACCAACAACCACACACACATACACATTTCTGTCAAAGCATGTGACCAAGCTGGGCCTCTCAGTACCTCAACCCTCTGGCCATCCTGACGGAAAGTCAGTGGGGGTAGTGGCATGTGAGAGTCCTCCTTTCTCTTATGCAGTAAACTGGCAATGATGGGTCCAACCACCTGGAACTAGAGTAAGCGAACTCAAGAGACAGAAGCCAGCCCCTAGACACAGACAGTTGGTCCTGGCAGTATTCCAGTCACCGTTTTTGCCTAAGTAAGTTCAATCTGGGTTTCTGCCACTTGCAAGAAAGAAAGTCCTACTCGTAGTATACTTCACCCCAGTCCTTCCTGCTCGCCATCATTTTCCCCTTCCACTCCCTGCCAAGTATTTTAACCTCCTTATGAGGATGTTTACATGTTATATAGGAATACCTGTTTTTAACAACCAAAAAAACAAAACCCAAATCCACTGCTGTCTAGTTGATTCCGACTCATAGTGACCCTATAGTACAGAGTAGAACTGCCTCATAGAGTTTCCAAGGAGCAGCTGGTGGATTTGAACTGCCAACCTTTTGGTTAGCAACTGAGCCAGCCCAAAACTCTTTTAGAAAGCATCAGCGCTCTCATGAGTAAGTGAACTACAGAACCAACAATGTCTGACAATAGAGGGATAGGTAAATAAAATACAGCATATCCACTTGATGTAATGTTATGTAACCATTTCAAATGTTACCACAACTATGTTATAATGTAAAAATATATATATACATTTCCTGCCATCCATATTTTAGTGAATTAGCATTTTTATGATGAGAGGATGAACTATTTTAAATTTAAAAAATTGTTACCCAACAGTGAAGGATATCAGAACTTCAGAGCTACCTATGAAAACAGTAAATCCATAAAAGGACCCTCTGACCAGCCTTTTCTCACTTATAAAGGCACGCTACTCGAATCTTATCCTTCATATTCAGCCCAAGTGTCACCTCCTCCTAGAGGATTTCCCTGACTACTTCACCCCACAAGGATCTTTTGCATTGAATATCTAAACTCCATAATTAGCTCTGGATTTTTAAACTGCATTCCATTTTCCCAGGAATAACGTTTTCATCTCCCTTAGAAAAATAAAACTTTCAGAGGTCATGCCTTACATTTCCATCAGCATCGAAATCAGGTCATTTGGTGTTCAACAACACTGAATAAATATGAGTAAACAGGTCTTTTAATAACACGCAACAAACAGGTACACTGCAATATTGCTGGTGGCACCATTAAATTGAGCCAGCCCTTTGGACAAACATTTTGGCAGTAAGATTTACTGGTATAAAATACTTGTACAATCTGACCCAGTAATCTCACTCCTCAGATCTATCCTAGGGATTTTAAGAGAAGAAAAAAGACTTTCTGCCCAAAGATGTTCTTTGTGGTATTATTTAAACAGCCAAAATGTCCAACAAATGAGGAAATTTTTAAGTAAATCATGTGAGATTTATTCAATGAAAGAGTATGAACCACTCAACATGATCTAGCCTATATAACATAGAAAATGTCTCTGATAGAGTAAGTGATCAAAAAATACAGCACAGTATTTAACGTCTGATTAGACTGGGAGCCCAGCTGCACAAGGACTAGAGAGAAATACTGAAACAGATGCCTTCTTAGAGCAGTGGAATTATAGCTGACACTCCTTTATTTTTCTAAAATTTCCATTACAGCTCTTTTAATGTTCACTAAAATTTTCATTACAAAATACAAAAGAATTTGTATTTCAATTTTGTCCTCGGTGTTAATACAAGGATTTCAAACAATGGATCTGATACCCTACCAACAGCAGCCACCAAGGAACTAATTGCTGGTACCTGTAGGTTCTATTGAGGTCTCCACTCTACGGATTCTGCCTGCCTCCCAGCTCCAGGTAATTCAATTAGCCTGAGTGTCAATGATCACTCAAGCTCAGACCCTATCCTATCTGACTGCACCAAGGCAGTATATCTGGGTGCTACTCTCAGGAAGGATTAAATTAAAAGAAGCGGAATACATAAGTTTAAATATATCTGAAATTCTAAAAGACAAAAGCATACATATTTTGCTTCTAAATTCAGAGAAAAGGGTTTAAATGCTAATACCCAGTGCTGAACAGAGTATGGTCTTAAAAAAGGGCTCACTCTCATATAAGGAACCCTGGTACAATCTTTCTGGAGAACAATTGGAATACATGTATGAAAATAGCCTTAAAAATATTCATACTCTTTGACCCAGTAATTGTACCTCTATGAGGAAATCATCAGTGGATAAATATTTACGTACAAAGATGTTTGCTGCAGCATTCATTATAAGGGAAATAAAGGGGAAATGACCAAAACATCCAATAATACGGGACTAGTTAAGTAATTATAGAACATCTTTGTGATGACATACTATGCTGGGGGAAAAAAATCATGTTTTTGAAGAACATTCATGACATGTAAACACACTAAAGAGAGAACACTGAATAAAATACTGTATTTTCAATTTGATGACAATGATGTGCGTGTGTGTGTGTGTGTGTGTGTAAAAGGACTGAAACATCAAATAGTTAAGACTGGTCTTTCTAGCTGAGGAGCGAATGGGTGAAATGTTTTCTTCTTTATATTTTACATATTTTTCTAAGTTTTCTGCAGTGACTATATTCCTATAACCAGAAATAGCCAAACAGCCCAGCCCATCTGCACCGCCCACCATTTCAGAAGGGAACAGCAGTACTCACAAGGATGGTGCAGTCTTCTTTGCTCTTCTCTCGATAAGCTTCCTCCAGGTCCTTTTCTAGTCTCTCCCTCTCCTGCTGTAAATCGCTCAGCTCCTGGGTGACCTTCTTAATGTTCCTACATAGTCTGTGGTTCTCTGTATTCTTCGTGAGGTTTTGTGAGCGCAATTCAGCCAAAAGGGCTTCCTTTTCTGACAGGGCAGCCTCATATTCTTCAGATCCCTAAATGAAAAGGGAGAAAGGAAAGATGAGCTGATTTTCATACCTCATTAAACAAAACAAAATCTGTGCTCCTTTTTCACCTTGGGGAAAAAAAGGAAAGGAAATGATTAATTCTACATAAGCAACATTGAGGACCTGAAATATAAATAATATGAAGATTCTGTAATAACACAGGGTAATGTTTTATTATAATATTGATGTTAAGGGGAGAAAAACCTAAAAGTGTATAAAAGCAGTATTTAAAAAAAAAACCCAGAAGGAAAAGCATAAAATGTTAATACTAACTGTCTTTAGTGGGGTAGAAATATAGCTATTTTTCTTCACGTCTCTGTATTTTCAAATGTTCTAAGATGAGTGAGCTTCATTTCAAAACTAGAGATGAATTCAAACACTAGCAATGTTCCTCTATGTTAGAATGGCTCAAACACAGACTCACCTGAAAAAAAAGAAGCAGGCAGTCTGCATGACAGGTCTACAGCCACCTCAAGAGGCTGCCAATCAGCAGAATCCAAGAGTTAAATGTATCAACAACATTTTTATTTCATTAATAAACAGTTCTCTACAGAAAATAAATGTTACTTAAAACATAAGAAAAAAATGTTCTAACCCATCAGTAATCAAAAAGAGCAAAGTAAAACAAGCTCTCATCTATCAAGTAAGATTTTTTTAATGAGAATATCCAGTGCTGATGAGCTTACTGTGAAATGGAATTCTTAATATTCACTCTTCAATAACTGACCATGCACCTAGAAGCCAGGAAATATGCTGGCAGGAGTATTGATATAACCCCATGGAAAGACATATATATGTACTCTCTATCCACATACACACACACACACACACACACACACACATATTACATATATACTACACACACACACATATATATACACTACCAAAAATGAAAAAAACCAAACCCACTGCCATCGAGTCGATTCTGACTCAGAGCAACCCTGTAAGACAGAGCAGAACCACCCCAAAGGGTTTCCAAGGACTGCCTGGTGGATTCGAACTGCCAATCTTTTGATTAGCAGCCATAGCTCTTAACCACTATGCCACCATAGTAGATGTAATATATACATACATGGTATTTTTACGCAAATAACACGTCTTCTACATTTGTTTGCTGGCTGCGCCCTCCCCCAGTGAAGTATTTTCATAAGCGTGTTGTGCTAATTTTTTTTTACAATAACATATGGAAGAGGATTGGCATGGTGGCACTTGTGAGGGTGCCTCGTGTGTGTGTGTGTGTGTGTGTGTGTGTGCGCGCGCGCGCACACGCGCATATAAAGTTCATACCTGTCCCAATACTTCAGTTCCTAGGATTCAAAATCGGGAAGAATTCATAATGGGGGGTGGGTGGGGATGGGGAGAGCACCTTATGCACAAAATCATTCAACACAGAACTACTTGTAACAATGAAAAGTAAGAAAACAACCTCAATGTGTAACAATATGAGAAAGGATAAGTAAGATAAAGCCACACAATGCATCTTAAAAATATATTTACAAAGAGCTGATAACATGGGAATATTTCTAAGTGAAAGTGTGATGTGAAAAAACTGTAAATGATCTCAAACAAACAAAAATTTATGCAGCAAAGAAAGCCTAGAAGGGAAAAGATTAAAATGTTAAAAGTCAGACTTCCGGGTAACACGGCGCTACAGTCAGAAGCACCACACCATCCCTCCGAAGTAAAGATCCAAAAAACTAAGTCAAACAGAGTCACATGTGAATCCTGAAACCCTAAGCATCAAATGAAGAGATAAAGAACTCAGCCAAGCACCAAATGGAATAAGAAACTGACAGAGAACAGAGAGCGAGGAGAGATACATGCAGAGGTCCCCTATCAGCTACTGCAGCACGCATCCGCCATCTTGGACTCCTATCTGAGATCAGCGAACAGGGGGTACGAGACAGCGCTTCCAGCAGGAGACAAAACAACCGGCAACCAGCGATATACGCTTTCCCACCCCCCGCCCTTCTTCACCCCGACTCAGCCTCCTCTGTTTTCTGCGGCCAGTCTCTTGGCCGGGAAGCACCAACTTCACCCCGCTGTCGCTTGGGTTCCACCCGCACGCACCGACCAGCTCCCTGAGTGCCATTTGTTGGCTGCTGGTGTTGCTTTTTTCCGCTTCTTTAGATTTCCTCCTGACCTCTCACCACCTCCCCCTCCTTTCTCTCAAATAACCTGGCTCCGTGTGCCATCTTTGCTTCTTCCCGAAACACCTCTTGACTGTGATACAGCTTCCCAGCCCATGCCGCCACGCTGGTGGGACCCCCAGGGCTTTATGTTTGTTTGCTCTGATTTATCCTGTTTTGATTTGTTTGCATTTTCTTTTCTCGGCTTGGGAGCCCCTTCTAGCCAGGCAGTACCGCGGGGCTTGGAAGCTACTCTCTTACTCTGTGCAGACACACAGGGACATCCGTGTGAGCAATTCTTCTTTCTTGATTTTTTTCTTTGTTTTTGGTTTTTTTCTTTGTTTTGTTTCTTCTCTCTCTTACTCTCTTTCTGTCTTTCTTCACTTCTAGTTTCTCGACTTCTTCATTTTTATCCTTTTTCCTTTTTTTTTTTCATTTTTGTTTTTCTCCATTTCTCAGTCTCTCTCATCTCTCCACTCCAATAGCAAGCTCCCTTAGCACTCCTTTTTGTTTCTGTGTATGTTTTTGGCTCCTGTTCTTCTCTCCTTTCTCTCATCTATCCCATACCCATCTTAGCTCCACACAACAATCTACTCCCTCCTTCTTGCCTACCTGCACCATGTGCTGAACATCACACTCCCAAGCAGCAAAGGCATGGCCTACTGGAACCTGCTCTGCACTGATTCCCAGCCCGCGCTGTCAGACCTGGTACGTGCCACAAACAACCCATCCCAGCAACTTCCCTTCAGCTGGATCTGCCCTCGTGTACCATACGTGAGTGACTGACCCAGCCCGTTGGAGAAGGAGGTGAAAAGTATCATGCCCACAGACAAACAAACAACAAAGAACGCACAACCCACCAGCTCAGACATAACCGAATAAAGCAAAAAAGCAGGATGAAACAAACAAATCTACAAGCAGTAAATGAGGAAAATAATTACTGAATGCCCCGAACACAGCAGACAATATGAAAACATACACAAAAACAGGACAGGATGGTTCCAGTAGGAGTCCAAAATAAAACACCAGATGACTTTCCAGTAGAAGAAAAGGCACTACACCTAACTGATAGGGAATTCAAATCTCTAATATTCAGAATTATCCAAAAGTTGAAGCAAAAAGGAGACAAAAATGAGGAAAAAATAGACACATTCATAGAAAAGGCAGACAAATTCATAGAAAACACAGACAAAAAAAATGGAAGAATTCAAGAAAATAATACAGGAACAAAATGCTAAAATAAATTCACAACTAGAAAGCATACAAAAACAACAATTAGAAATCCAAAAGATAAACAACAAGATTTCAGAAATGGACAGTGTCATAGAAGGGCTGAGGAGCAGGTTGGAAACGACAGAAGATAGGATCAGCGAAATTGAAGACAAACACCTGGCTACAACTCAGGAAAAATCAGAAAAAAAAATGGAAAAAAATGAAGAAATCCTGAGAATTATCTGGGATACAATCAAAAGCAAAAACTTGCGGGTGATTGGAGTTCCAGAACAGGGACAGAAAACAGAAAACACACAGAGTATCAGTGAAGAACTGCTGACAGAAAACTTCCCCAATATCATGAAAGATGAAAAGCTGACCATCCAAGAAGCTCAACAAACCCCATATAGGATACACCCCCCAAAAAAATCACCAAGGCATACCATAATCACACTGGCTAAAACCAAAGACTAACAAAGAATCCTGAGAGCAGCTCGAGAAAAACAAAAAGTCACATACAGAGGAGAAACAATAAGATTAAACTCAGATTATTTGGCAGAAATCATGCAGGCAAGAAAGCAATGGAATGACATATAGAAAACCTTGAAAGAAAAAAATTGCCAGCCAAGAATAATATATCCTGCAAAACTCTCATTCAAATACGATGGTGAAATTAGGTCATTTCCAGATAAACAGAAACTAAGGGACTATGTAAAAACCAAACCACACTTACAAGACATATTAAAGGGAGTCCTTCCATCTGAGAACCAACAACATCAGACCACAGGCTGAATACAGGACACAGGATTATACTAGCCAGATACCAACCTAGGAAATGAACTCTTAAAGACTACCCAAAACCAGAAGAATTCAACAGGGAACCAGAGAGGCTAATCTGTAAATGACAACAGCATCAGAACAATAAAAGAGGGAATAAACGGTGTAGGTATAGAACTTTCTAATGGAGAGGAAGGCAAGGTGACACGAAGTAATAACAGACTGCTTCAAACCTAGGAAGATAAGGGTAAATTTCAAGGTAACCACAAAGAAAGTTAATAACCTTACCAAAATAAAGAAGAAAAACATAAAGTCTCAGTAAAAACAAAACCTACAAAAACAAAAGAAATGAAAAAAAGTCCACAAACAAAAGGAACTCAGCACAGGAGAGTGAGAGGAACAAAGAAAACATCAGCACCACAAAAAAAGCACTACAAAATAACAGCAATAAATTCAGACCTACCAATAATTACACTGAATGTAAATGCCTCAATGCACCCATAAAGAGATGGAGAGTGACAGAATGGATAAAAAAAACAGGATCCATCCATATGCTTTCTACAAGATACAATCCTTAGAAACAAAGATGTAAATTTATTAAAAATCAAAGGATGGAAAAAAAAATATCAATCAAACGGCTACCAAAAAAGAGCAGGAATGGCTAATCTCAGGTAAAATAGACCTTAAAACAAAACCCACCACAAAAGACAAAGAAGGACACTATATAATGATTAAGGGGACGATCCATCAGGAAAACATAACTGTCATAAACATCTATACACCCAAAGACAGGGCTCCAAAATACATAAAACAAACTCAAAAAGCACTGAAAAGAGAAATTGACAATTCCACAGTAATAGTAGGAGACTT